GGCCTTCAGTTTAGCGCCTCATTCGGTTTAAATTAACGCTGACGTTGGCGTTATATCAAGGTACGACGTATTATAAAGATTTTTAAACCTCTACGTGCACAAACTACTTGAAATTGGTAACATTTATAAACACCTATCAGTGAGATAAATTATCTTCATCGCACAAATCGCAATGTTTAAAATGTAGTTCTATTTTGCTTATTAAGTCAGAGGTAATAGTGACTTAGATATTAGCAAGCACTTTCTTTATTGCTCCCCACACATTACGTTATCGACCCAACTACATGAGTAATACTGATGATGCTNTAAAAAAAATTATACGTGAGAAATTCTTCTAAAACCTATTTCGTAATTTTATGTATTAAATGACAGAAGAGAAACCTCGATATAGCGCCACCCTCTATAGTGCACCCTTATAGAGCGCCAATGAACATTTACGATCGAATTTTCCTCTTAAATCTTAAAAAAATAAGGCTTTAGCCTTTATGAACTAATAAATATTTGATTCAAAGGTCATTGTTATCGAACTTGTGAATACATCTCATTTTTTTGTGGCATTATACTTCGGTTTAACGCCACATTCGATTTATTGCTAGTTATGGAGGCGATATATCGAGTTTTAACTTTAATTTAGTATATATATTACTACACAGAATAAAGTTTACATTTTCTAATTAATATATACAAACTCCTGAACAACGACCACTGATGGAAATATAAAATGTGGCCGTTGTTTGGAGGTTATTTTATATGCATTTTTGTTCCAATAAAATTCTAAAAATGGTTGCTATATAAAGGTTATTTTGTATGGATTTTTATTAAAAAAATTTTTTTCTGAAAAAATGGCCGCTGTTTAGAGGTGGCCGTTATTGAAGGTTCTGTACCTGCTATAGAGAGATTGTAAAAACCAAAAAAAAAATCGATTTAATAGTTTAAAAAATTTAAGTTTTTAACGATAAGTTCGGGTAAAATCTATGATTACGAGCCGAAAAAATCAAAAAGTAAAATGCAATTAGTCGTATCAAAAGTAGCAAAGAGGAATTTTAGGAAAATGTTTTAAAAAAATAATTAATTAAAATATCTAGACAAAAAAAAAAAAGAAAAATTTCATTGTAAAATATCAGCATTAAAAAAAAATAAAATGCATTGTTGCATTGATAATTTCTCAGATTAATTTCATTAAAATAAAGTTTCTCACGAATAAAATTTAAAAAAAAAAGAGAAAAGAAAAATGTGTTCTTTTTTCATTTATAAATTTAAAAAATATCAAACAAAATGTATTTATTCTCCGAAGAAGAAAATATTTACGACTTTAACATTAAAAATAGAAAATTTCTTAGAAATTTTTAATCTTTTAACACAATTGAAACTTGTTTAACTCGCTGTGATTTACGCCTCGAATTTCAAATTTAATCGCTTTATATGAGAAATGTTTAATAAAGAAAAACTTTAAAATAAATTTTTCTAGTTTGATCTTCGCTATTTTGACCTGAAGGCAAAAATAATAATATGTCTTAATTTAAATTTTAAAAAGAAATACATATAAATTTTTCTCTAGACATTTTAAATTATTTACTTTATAAGAAATATCTTTTCTTAACAGAAAAAAAAAAAAGAAAGTCGTAAAGGAAACTCGCATCGACATGACTTCTACCATATCGAACGTTAACAATATTTTTTCTATTTTTAGTTCGGCTGGTTCCTGTCTCGTCATTCGGATGCGGGGATATAACGTCACTTTTCTAGATGAAACACACAATACGTCATTGTTACGTCATACGATTTGTTTCAGTTTATTTTTCTTCTACCAACCTGTTCTTTTTCCTTTAATTTTTTAAACTTTGTTTTCGACTTAATGAAATCTCGGTTTATAAATATAGAATTTCACGAAGAGTTAGTTTATATATAGTTTTCAACGTTCTTGAACGGATAAAACCACTGAATGCAGGCCTCGTGGAGTTACCGGGTTTTCTTCACGTGCCTAACACCTAAATAGGGACCAGTGTACCATAGAAAGTCGCCCCCTTTGGTATGTGTTGTCATTGCCTTATCTCATCAAGAATTACTGAATATTTTTTTTATTAATTATTCCTCACCCGGATTAATTTTCTACCCAAACTAAACAAGACTTGAAAGTTAAAAGCACAAATATTTTTTTGGCAATTTAACTGGAGTGAGTTTCCTTTATTAATGTTAGAGTTTCACCTTCCAAATAGCTTGCACTTAACATAGTACATGGCTTCTCTAACTGATTTTCTTCACTGTATATACACCTTCCCCGGGGAGTGTTGCCAATGCAGCCACATTTATATTACAACAAAAGATCTGTTTCAAACAGGAAGCGAAATGTGTTTCTTCTATTAAAACTAATTGAATTAATTTTATTTCGTTTTAAAAGATGCAAATCTTATGTTTTAAATTTAAATCCGCATTCCAGATTTAGAAATACACCAGAAGAAATTGTTATCTTTAATTGTTTTATTATTCACTATCTCAGTTAAAAGGGAAGAAAAATGAAAATTTCCTCAAGACACTCGCTTATGTTAAAATAAAAAAAAAGGCGTATTGACTTCACCCCGAGCAATTTTACAAATCTGTGAATTTTCTCTCATTAGCTACGAATAAATCAGAAACAAATTTCATTTTCTTGCAGCATATTTCTCGAACGTGTACTCGGGGAGGAGAGAATACTTTACATAAACTTTATTTCCCTTGATACTTTGATACTTTATACATATAAAACTTCGTTCAATTTTTGTTACAAAAGAGAAAATATTTTAAAATAAAATAAAATAAAAATGATATTTATTCTAATTTTACGTGTTTTACAACTCTGCACAAATATCTAAAAATCTAAATGAGAAAATAGTGGAAATTCACTGATGTACAATTCGTGTTCGTTTACCCATTTTTAGAAATTAATTAAATTATTAAACATTTAACCTTTAAAATCTTTTATTTTAATTTACGTGTTCATATAGATTTAATATTTTTACATAATTTATCAGGATTTATTGTTTCCGGTCACGTCCTTGTAATATTTTATACGCTCTTACTCATGGCTAATGTAAATAACTGTACAGAGTACCTGTTAAAAATTATCGTAGTAAAACGAATTAAATCCTGAAAACTTATACTTAACAATTAAATTATTGACAAATTACAGTATTATTTAGTCAAACCCCTGAGCGACGGGCACTCGACAGAAACATGGCCGTAATTCGGAGGTGGCCGTTGTTTGGAGGTTTGACTGTATTAAATGCGACATTTTTTTCTATTTATAAAATTAATGAAGATAGAAATTTGTTTACTAATTTTAATAATAATAGTAATTCTGTTTTTCAGAGATAAAGGTTAGAATATTGCTACTGAAAATAGAGCATAATAATCTAATTTTTTTTAAATGTTTAACTAGTTTCAGCCAGTTAATACATTAAAAAATCGTTCCAGAATGATTTAAATTTTCCTAAAATTGAAGAATATTTTATTTTCGTTTGTTTTTTCTAATGAAGAAATGGTGAAATGATGAAACAAATTGCTGATTTGACGAATTTCCATTGGAAGAACGTGTGTACAAGCATGGCGTATGTTAACAATATATTTGCTTGTACGATAATGTATGAAAAATGTGTTTAGAAAATAATATCGAAATTCTTACGTGTCACTTTTGATGTATGGAATGATGGCAAATTCTATTGAAAAATTTAAAGTTTCTGTCGAAAACGGACTCGATCCGACTTTAAGAAATGCATTGTCAACATCTACTAGTTTCAACTGTTACTTCATACAAAGTGAAACTCTTGAATGTCATTGATGCTGAAAGAATTTCATATAGTAGCATAAAAATGCTTTTTCTTCCGGTTACAAAAGGCATATTTTAAGCACAAATAACCTATAGACTTTTTATTCGAATCTGCACTTTTAGTTCCTCGGCTTTCTATTCTTTATGTATTTTTATACAAAAATACAAGAAAACTTCGAATATATTTTTGAAATTTTTCTTCAAATTTTTTTCTAAATTGTTCAGTACGTGTTTAGTTTACCAAGAAGTTAAATCTTACATTCGTTTATCAGCATTTGTGATATTGCAATTCAATGTTTACAGCTTATCTTGAGAATAATCCGTAGCTCGAGAGCATTTGATACTCTGTACTAACAAATGCACTTTAATATTATAATAATGCTATGAATTTTCTAATGAGTTCGTTCTTCTTGATAATGTCGTTTCGGTCCTTCAGTGGCCAAATGGATAAAACCATTGAACACTGGATCCCACTTGTCAGATCGTCTGTGTGTTGTGTTGCCTTAACTTATTCATCCATACTGTCGTTTCGCAAGCATTTTAATGGCATTCGTTATTAGAGGATTGAATTGGATTGATGGAATAAGGCAACGCAACACGAGGGCAATCTACCAAGGGGATGCCTTCCGGAGGGACTTTCTATGGGAAATTGGCTCCTATTTAGATGCTAGACACGTTAAAAAAACCCGAAAACTGCAAGTGGTCAGGCGCGAACTCGCGACTATCAGTGTTGAGTGGTTTTAAGCCCTGTCACTGGCGGTCGCCTTCGTTAAAGAATGCCCTGTCACTGGCGGTCACCTTCGTTAAAGAATATAATTTTATTTAAGTTTCCTAACCGAATCGTTGCATTTTACTTTATAAAAGCTTTTATAATTTTAAAGAAACAACTGAAAAAGTTTGTAATCTGTTGAAGCACATCTCCAACTTTGTGCCATCGATTTTTGTATTGAGGGAAAGACGAACATCCAGCAATCTGAGATAGAAAATCTTTCAGAAACTTGCTGTCTACATAACCTCCTCTTTCATCTCACGTAATCTTATCTAATTTTAAAAGATGATATCATCGTTTAAGCAACACATTTAAATTTATAGAATAAACGTAAATAGAATACGAGAAGAGAGACATTTAAAAGAAATAAGCGGATAGAAAAATTCGTGAAAATACTTCTCAAATCCTCGATTGAATTTAAAGAATCAGCTTATTATAAGCTTTAAATAATGCAAATTTAATAAAAACAAGCTTAATTATAAATTTAAAGATATAATTAAAGAAATTGCCGATCGGAAGAATCCTTTTTCATAATTGAATATTTAAAAAGCCAAGTGAAAATTCTAATTGCCAAATAAATTTTGATGCGAACCTGAGCATTGTGCTCCGTCTGGATCGAAAGCAATTGGTGGAGAGAAACGGGTGACGTCAGCAGCCAGTGGAAGAGGAAACCAGATGATAGAGAGAGAGCGTGCATGAGAACTATGACGGTGGTTTTTGGAACATTTCCCAAAGGTGATAGGGAGTATTTAGAACAAGATGTCATCGCCAGGCAAATGGCTATACACGCTGCTCGGTCGACAGTCGGCCAGCCCCGAATTAAACAAAAAATGGGATGGTAGCAGTAGTAGCAATTGTGGAGAATTGAACGTTTCGGTGGAATTACACGAACTAGAAGATGGCAAACAAAGATTTCATCAGCCGCGAATGAGTCTTTTGGGTCGACCCATCACGTGCAGACACAGGCCACGCGACCCTAGATATAGAAAATTTCAGTTGAGAATATATAACTTTTTGGAAAGACCACGAGGCTGGAGAACTGTCTTGTATCATATCATGGTGTGAGTTTTCTTTTTTTTTTTTTAAATATAATCTCCATTCGTTAAATTTGACATAACGCGCTTTACATTATAGCTGTAACCCACAAAATAAAATTAGTTTAACTAAAAAGTTTACTTTCGCACACTTACAAATGATAGAAAGCAATTAAACTTGCATAATGTGTTTTCTTGTGCAGTTTATGGTCAAAGTTGTGGGTTGTAAAAGTACTTAGTGAAGATGATTATTGTGACGTCTTTTTAATTGTTTTCGTATTGCTACTTACTATCTTTTTTACCGTCTTTAAATCTAAATTAAAGAGAAAATGTGACATTAATTTCGAATAACTGAAAAGAAAAAAATCTGTTTAATTAATGCGCTAAATTTGGGGGGGGGAAGTTGTTGCGCGTGGAAAAGCAAGGTGTGACGCGCTTCCTTAAGGATTCATTAAGTGGATAAAACCGGATGAGATGTCCCTTATAATGGAATTACTCGTTAACGCTATAAAAAATTCGAATAATTAAATAATAGCTCTATAAAATAAAATTCATTTGCTATAAATTTAAAGAAAAGTTTACAATTTTTCTTAATCTTTGGATTAACTTTTCGAGTTAGATTATTGGATTTAGTGATTTAAATTTTATTCGAATATTACGTAAATGTTTTTAATTTTCTTATTCTAAAATCAAATTATTTGTTGAAAAGGTAATTTCATTTTTTATAAGAGTTTTTTGACAGTCACGAAACGTTGTTACATCAAAGAAACATTAAAAACATCTGGCATGGTTTTGAGTTGTTTAATCAGATTTCCCCATTATTACTCTTATTATATTCGAATTTTTTCGTACTAGTTGATCTATTTTTTTCTTTATTTTCAATAATTTTATATATTTAAAAAATTTTACACGAATTTTTGAAACAATAAAAAGAATAATCCTTATTTTTAAAATTTAATTTTTTCTTTTAATTCAAGCATCAGTAATTCAAATAATATAATATTAACTCCATATTGAAAATTTGCATGCAGTTTCTGATTAAGATCTGCGCTTGATTACGTTTCGAACGTGAGTTTAATTTCAACGAAGTCATACATTCCAATACGAGAAAATTATGATTTTTACTAAATTACACATTTTGTTTTTTTTTTTAAGGAGTGAATGGAATAAAAATAAGATGAAATTTCAACTTGTTGTAGATAAGAGACTCGTGAAGTGTAAGAACTTTTATCGGGAATATTGCTATAATTTTTTGATTATAACAATAATAAACTAGTAGCTAAAAGAGCTCACAAACCAGTGGGTGAACAAATACATGGTGCCTGATTGACTGGAGACATTAATAGCTATTGGTTTTGTGATAACCAGAGCTTTAATGTTCACTAGCAAAGTAGATCTGACAGATTAAGTGCTTCTCCATCTTTTTCTTGTCTTCAGATGTCAAAATGTTAGAAAGCTTACATTCTAATTTTTCCATTCTTAATTTATTTAGCATTTTCTATACTAAAATAATAACGAAACTTGATCTTTATCAGAAAAAAATTCTGTTATAATATTATTCAGTTCACGAATAATGAAGTGGAAATTTTTTATTGTTATTCTTAAATCTATTTACTAAAATAACGTAATTAAATTATATATAAATATATAATAATATTGTTTTAAAAAAACCTTACATTTAAAATTTAATTTGTAATTCTGAAGTTTTATATAAAGTTACGTTTATATTAGAGAAAGAGTGAATATCTCTTTAAGTTGTATCCATGTTTTGATGCTTCTTAACTCTTCTTCTCTAAGTTTTAATGATTGTTTTTACGAGATTTTCAATAGAAATTACAAAGAATAAATATGATATATACTGTAATTCTTTAATCCTAAACTACTGTCCTAATTCTTGTTGCTAGGACACGAAGAAAGTAATTTGTCTTGGTGACATTGTGATTTACATTGTAACTCAAGTAGGATATTTGATTAAACTGCATTAATCTGAATTGTGGCATTAACTCCCACACGCCACAGCCACAAAAAATAACTTTAATTAGATATAACATTCAATCGTACTAATAATAACTTTCAACAAATATAGATCTACGCATACCAACAACTAATTATATATTTTTAATTTATTTAGGAATTCTACCCGTAGAAAAAAAGCATGGAATTATATAAAAATCTTTGAATTCTTTCGTTTAAAAATTTTAAAAAGTATTATTTTTGCATAAAATTAAAATTAATGATTTTATATTGCTTTCGGAATTCTTCAATTAACTTATTTAAAAAATCTCTCTTGAATATAATCAAATTTTTATTAAATAATTAAAGTTAAATTAATGTATTTTAATCATTAAATACTTTAAATTTATTATTATTATTATTATTTTTAAAAATTTTCTAGAGGAATAAGCCTAAGTAACTTTTCAAATAGCTTCCGTTTAGTGGTAAAATGGATAAAGCAGTTAAGAATTGTGTCCTTATCTCTTGTTATTAATGTTCTAGACGACTATACAGAGGCAAGACATTGTCTTCGGATAGCTTCAGGGTAACTCGTATCCATTGCTTCTTTTCACATCATTCCAGGAAGAAATACATTAAAGAGAATACTGGAGACACAAATTATTTTTCTCTATACATTTATATACCTTTAATGTGGACTTTTACTTTAAAAAATGATAAATTTTCCTTATAAACTTTTCTATCGAGAGAATAATATTCTCTGGTGCTTACTTTCACTCCGTAAAAGTCAGGTAAACGGATGTATAACTCGCACCTGCGATAAAAATAACTATGTTTATCCCAGGTGTCTATTGAAATATGCTATTTCCGGTTATTATAAATAGCACCTTTTTTTTTATCTAATTAATAGAGAATACAAAATTTCCACGTTTATATAGGAAATAAACATTTATAAACTTGAAAATTTATAGATACATTAGTTTATTCTAAATTAATTAAAACAGAATACAGTATAAGCTACTATTCATTATGTGTTCGTGTTACTCTTCATCGTTGTTCCACATTGTTACGGTGATCATTATCGGAATATGGACATTCGGACTCTTAATTAGTTAATATTTATAGTAATTAATTGTACAGTACATTCTAATGCTTTCAACCGGAGTATAAACTTTAATTTCCGGTTATCAGATTTATTATGTTAAAAACTGACATGTTTGAATATTAAATCCAATCGATAAAAAGCTGAAATACAAACGTGTTAAATAATTGTTTATATAGTTTATTTTGTACAGTCAAACCTCGATGTAAAACCTTCCTATATAGCGCCACGTTTCCTTTGAATATTAAATAGATAATGCTTCATCCTGTATCAATTAGGCTAATAAATGTACGATGTTACCTTTAGTGATAACAATGATCCTTTTTGCAAAGGGTCATTGTTATCGCCAAATCACGTGATTTTCAAACTTGTTGGTATTCTGGGCCTTCAGTTTAGCGCCTCATTCGGTTTAAATTAACGCTGACGTTGGCGTTATATCAAGGTACGACGTATTATAAAGATTTTTAAACCTCTACGTGCACAAACTACTTGAAATTGGTAACATTTATAAACACCTATCAGTGAGATAAATTATCTTCATCGCACAAATCGCAATGTTTAAAATGTAGTTCTATTTTGCTTATTAAGTCAGAGGTAATAGTGACTTAGATATTAGCAAGCACTTTCTTTATTGCTCCCCACACATTACGTTATCGACCCAACTACATGAGTAATACTGATGATGCTCTGCGATTCCATGCTAGAAATTTATCGTCAAGGTTATTTTAGACTTTCGTAATATCATTCTTTTTTAAATATCCATTAATAATATACAACGAAATGTTTATTTAGAGAGTAAATCACTTTAATACTACTTTTCGGGGGGAATAATTTGTGTGGTTGTTCGATAATGCTTCGATCGTTAACGACACGAAGAAGAATAATTATTGCTTGTATATGTTACGCTTCTATCAGAACAAGTTAAACAGTGATTAAGGCAATTTGAAGCACGCTTGTCTATATATATATAACGCTAGTAGTCTTCAAATCGCGATTCCCTGCCGTCAAGAGGGGCTTAGGGCCTCACATTTTCACATGTATCATTATTTGGTAGAGGAGAAGAGCCTGATATACCTTGTATATTACAGCTTAAGGCCACAAAAAGATTAAATCCTGCACTGGGTAACACTATAATCTTTCGCATATTAAAAGAGGATGAGCGATTTAAAAGTAGGCCTACGCTAGAGTATATAATGAATTTACTTTATACTGTGAAGTAAAAAATAAAAGAAGAATATTTATAAACATATATACATAAAATTTTATAATATGAGTAAATTATTTTATAGATTTTTCAAATAGAATAAGAATCTTTAACTTAAGTACAACCGGCATAAAATATACAAACTTCGGATCAATAAGTATTTTTATTCTGTAAAGAGTGTTGTACTTTCGTAAGTTACCATGGAAACTAAAATAAGACAGAAGCGAAATACGGGAAACAAAAAATGGTGAAGAATTGGTTTGTTATCGATCTCATACTGATTAGTGCGAAGATTTCACGTGTAATATATACTGTAGCATAATTATATCAGAAGATAAATAAATATGTTAGTATTATTACGTCATATTGTATCACTATAACTATAATAAATAATTTCCCGAGATTATATATAGTCACTGGTTTGAAAATAGTCGAAGGCGACGACAACTAGCATGAACTTTGAATGATTGATGAAAGGCATCCACTGTTTAAATAAACAGATTCTTAAAATTCCAATATTAACTACAAGACACGTTAATACGACTAATTTAGAATTTTTTTTTTGAAAAATTCTCTACGTATTACATCACAGTTTGACCTCCTTTTGCCAATTGGAAGATTGTATGAACCTCTAAGGGATGACAATCCCTCGGAGGTTGAAAGATCTCAGATATAGCTGTAATCATTACACATAACTTTTATTCTAGTGTAATAATTATAATGATTTAATACATAATTTCGATAAACAGCAAGAATCTTTATGATGAT